TTGCGGAGATCGCTGATTTTTCTACGTGTTTTGATGAGACTAGATTTTTGGGTGTTTTAACCTCTTTCCACTACTCATACTGCTTGCTCGTTCGTTCTTAATTATCGTTCCGCTTCTGATGAAAGAAAATTCCGACCTTGGAAAAATGTACACGAATGGAAGCGGTATCAGTTTGTAGCAGCTTGTTGTACATAACGAAATAGCGCTCATTCCTGTATCCCTCTCCGAGCTTGGAACTTTTCCATCACCAGAGCAAGCGAGATACAAGATCAAGGCGAAAATGAGTGACTGGTGCTATGGAAACGGTTGAAGAAAATCAGAAATCGCTGCTTCGTGCCACTCAAAAGCGCAGCGGGGGCTACAGCGCATGCAGCACAGCTTTCCGGAACAGTTCCAGCACAGTGCAATTGTGCTGGAACAATTCCAGAATTTTCGACTCAGTATAAATCCAGCTTATATTGTGACTTATTCTTGCAAATTGATCTGCTTAATTAACGGCTTTGTATATAGAACACTCTGGCTCGGTTTGTTGTTAACTATCGGCTCTGTTCATTTAAGGTGTCTTACTGAAAGATGATCTATGTAGCCCAGCAAGCGAAAAAGTATCAGAGGTTGCGAAAGTCAAACACAGTTCAATACGCTCAAAGCGTTTTGTAGGTAAACAGTACACAGTTTCTAGTCGTACACTGTGCAAACGAGAACAAAGGCTCAACGCTCTATGCTTGGGTCGAGCCCCTATCAATACGAAGAAAGGAAGACTTTAGGGTTCGGTCAGAATTTGCCAGTGTTGGAAAGAGTTGAAAGTATTGCCGGTGTTGAAAGTGTTGAAAGTGTTACTGGTGTTGAAGGTGTTGGTAGAATTTATTGGCCTTACAGTCTCATTCTCCCTCAACCCTCTTGCAGGTTGGTGAGATGGGGGAGAAAACGGGACTTATTGTTAGAAAACAAGAAGATAGACGCTTTCGCCTGCAAGAGATCCCCAAATTGTTTGTAAAGTAGAGGACGTGCTTGACATAGGCAATCTCCATACACAATCTAAGAGCTGCGGAAATTCAGTGAGTAATGCGTATCAAGTGTTAAATCAGGCGCTTTTTCGAATAGTGAACAAAAGTTGTATTTAGCAAACTGCAAGATCGGTTGAGGAATGTCACTCTATGTACGCGCAGTACTCATTAGATATTCGCAGCGTTCTCATATCCGCGTTTGGAATTTGCCTATTTCAAACAAGTCCTTTACTTTGAAAGAAGTTTGTATGATGATCTATTGCATGTGAAAGTCCTTTTTTTGTTTTCTGAGTTTTATCCCATCATTTCTTTTCAAGCATCTCGTCAATCTGCAGGATGGTTTGAGGAATAATGAGACTGCAAGACTAATGATTTCCACATTAAGGATCGGTCAGAGTTTGCCGGTGTTGCAAGTGCTGAGAGTGTTTCTCATTCTTCCTCGACCGACCTTACCAGCTGGTGAGACAGTCGAAGAAAAAAATGTATGTCAGAATACTCTCAAACACTCTGTGTCACTGTCACACTCTGTGTCTGTGTCACTCAGTGTTGCGCGACAATTGTACATATCAACGTGGTTTACTACGAGCCGTGACAGCGTTCTTTCATGCTAACAAAAGGATTTCTGTGTTCTTTATTTAAATCAGGCCGAATATATCGTAGGGAATTTACTGGCGAACTGCGAACCATTTACTAAAGACAGGGTCTAGGCTAATCTGACATATAAGGCTCTTATGTGGGAATTGTTTGTAGGACCCTAACTAAGGCCGTGCGGGCCTAAGTTCGTCGTCATACTTGTCGAGGCCGTATTGGCGTAGCGGCTTGCGGCTCTGGTGACGCGTCCGCTCGCAATGCAAGCCGACGCAAGCACGGCAAATTGGCTTCCAGAAGTATTGAAACGGCCAATTTGATTGAATGACTTTTCACAGTTCGGATTGAGTTAAGCGCTCTCAAAGTGAGGCTCCCAAGACTAGATGCTTGCCAATTTTTGAGCTAGAAATAAGAAAGAGTTACAAAAGTTCTTTGTAGATTAAAACATGCAGAAGTCGTTAGCAAGAATACACTGTTTGCTTTGAAAGTTTCAGCGAATCGCCCAATCCATTACATAATTTGACTCTTGAAGCAGAATCACAAAAACGATAAACCCCATCTTAAACCCCATCCATCTTGTACTACCTGTTCCTCGGCCCTGCGCTTGCTTTCTGTCTTCCAGTGTTCTTGTTCAGTGTGACTCATCTGCTTCCAGTCATCAGCAGCTCGCTCGACGAGCCTTTTCGAGCCGAAGTTGCAACCAGCTTCGGCCTCATAGAAGGCACGACGTGAATCCGCGAAGAACATGAATCCATTCGACTTCTTTTTTGTCATCTACAGACTGAGAGCTCGTCCTCTGACTTCTATCAATCTTTTCGTGACGCATACCTAACGAGACTTGTTGTTAGTAATTGTAGACTTTGTAGCAGACCGTTCGTCGATGCTGACTGTGAGAAATTGAGATACATGATGATTATGAGCAAATGAGTAACAGTATGATATGCTATGTTTGCTGCTCCCCTTTATCAGTCTCCATTGTTGATTATTGTTGGTCACTAAGGGTAAGGTTTAGATTAGACATTGGAGATGTACGCTTCATTACGTCGTTGTAGAATGTGGAAATGTTCAGCCTTGCCATCTCTTTCTCCGTGCGTAATCATCGCCAGACAGTTACTTCGCTTCTGTAGGAAAAAACATAGGCTCGTGGTAATCCCCCGTCAGATGATTTGCTAAAGACCTTAAATGAGATTCGTAACTGAAAATTACAAAACTTGCGCAATCACTCTCTGCTCAGGCCTGCAAGAGATGTGAGCCCTCCCTATAGTATTTTCTCAAGGCTCTTATTATGTAGATATAATCGTGATGTAAGTTTCACATTCCTATTTATGTTTGTAATGCTACCAAACGTACCTGTTATCCAGAGATTTCTCATCGACAGAACTATGTTATGTCGTATGTTTGTATTAACTTAGTCCGAACAAAATACCGGATGCGCGCACTACTCCAACTTCTCAGCAGAAAACTGCTGAGTCCAGGGAAGAAATGCTTGAGAAAAGAGAATCTTCTTTCATCAATTAAAATCAAAAGTTTACTAACAGGGGAGGGATTAGAAATCGAAATCGGCTTTCTATACGAATCATATATTTTATTTATTTTTTATTTTTATTCAAAGTTACACTCATGGTGCACCTTTGAAAAAACAAAAAAAAAGCAAATTCGGATAAGCGTAGAACCAGCTGGTCTCAAATAGATTGTTATGAAAAAGGGAAGCAAAGCAAAATTCTGTAGGCTAAGTGTAATACAAGTATGTTCGTTGTAAAAAGGCAAACGAAATACCATAGGAAAATCATAGA